TAACCCGTTTGCAACGTCCGTTTGCAATCACCTTCTGTATCGTGCAAGGGAACTGCTGTCAGATGATCATGTTATGAAAACTGTCTGCTGTCAAGGAGGTAATGTAACTAAAAAAAGTCCAGATGTAGAAGTGATTGATGGTTTTCTTACTCTGCTTCTTTCCGGTTCAAACACTGCACGAAAAGCTGGACTTGCCAGTAGTAAGTGCCAGTAAACCAGTATTCTTTAAACGATTGTTTTGTTCCTTGTTGACTTTTATATTACACTTTTCATTCCCGCAAAATGCCCGGTCTGGTCCCGGCATTGAAATGTGACTACAGCATAAGCCCAAATGTTTGTTGCAGTGAAAATACCATATGCGGTCCTGGCACACAGTCAGCGTGATCAATAGGAGTAATCGGGTACACGGTCCGACCATACGCTTTATTTGGATTCCTCATTACCGAAGACAACCTGGTCGGGAATGAATCGTTTGACTGCCTTTGGATTAGCGGGATATTGGAAACTCGGCGGAGTAGATTAATGACTCCCAGGACTTAAAGGCACCCAAAGCGATTTCAGGGCAGTAAAACTGGATTTTCAAAGTCAATGTGATGGTTATTTTTTAATGTAGAAAGTTACATCAACCTTAGCTATCTCATAGCATACTGATATCTATGAGGCAAAAAATGCGATGTCGTTGATGGTTAACGGCTGCTTGCTTTGTATCTTTCTGGCTTGGCTCTAGCTACTTATAGATGGTACCAAAAAAATAAAAGCACCTCTTATGTAGCTTGTTTGGGGTCTGTTTTAAACTATGTATGTATGAAATGATGACATAAATGAATGAAGAAAAGGCATTGAATGTCAATATCAGACTGATTTCCAAATCCAAAAATATATTTTTTGGATTGCCGATCTAAAATTGCTTTGGATGCCTTTGATACGTAACCACAGAACGTATCTTAAGCACAGCCATTACTTTCCCCACAGCTACTTAAGGTCATTGGTAATGATTAACTTGGCATTCAGGAAGTGGAGGTGCCAAAATATGAAGCAGCACGAGTTTGTTTAAACCTTTAAACAAAGCTGCCTGTCAAGTTTGTCCACATTCTGGTGTTTTGCACAGGTGGTGGTGCCACAAATCTAGTCTGCCTCATGTGGGATGTTTTAGTGCCAACCATAAATGTCAGAAATTGAGGTGATTGATTGCACAAACATGTCGAAAAGTGGAAGTAAATTACAATCACACGAAGATTCTTCAATTCAAATATGTCAATTTCTGGTGCAAAAAACATATATTTTCAAATATTTGAACTGGCAAATAATATATAAAAAAATGAATGTCGGTCTTTCCTGAATTTTTAGACAGCACCCCAATTATGTTTTTCCAAATCTGTTGCTGGCTTTCTCGACCCAACACAACAATTTACGATATGATAAAGCGCCAGGCTGTCCCAATGCTTCTCGTCAAGGGCAGAAGGATTAACCTGATCGTAAAGGTAGCCTCCTGAGTTATCATGCGGTGGAAAAATATTCTTCTTCCGGGAGAGAGATGTCCCACCTGGGACCAATTACGCCTCAGCCACGCACCCCTCATGTCCAGGGACGCTACTGATGGTAATACGCTGACACCAACCTATGCGTTTCCTAAATTGGAAAGACAATGATTTAAAATATACCCGTCCATCAGAAATGAAGCGCTATTTTAGGTAAAAAAATTCTGAATGAATTTTGTAATTGCCTTTCTACAAACGACGAAAATGATGATTTGATTTCGAAATAAAGATGCGATAACCTTCAAAAGGCTATTAATCTATTAAACAAAGATGTCCAGGGACGTTAATGATGTTTATGTTCTGACACCAACCGATGCCTTTTCTAAATTGAAAACACAATGAGTTGAACATAGCAATCCACAAAAAATGGTTGATGTTAATCATTTTGGTTTTGGAGAGATATTTTTGAAAAAAAAGTGCATTTTGGACGTGCAAGATAATTCTTTGTCTTTCCGCAGACGACTGACAGAAATAAATTGGCTTGCAAATAAAGCTGCGTTAACCTTAGTTTATGGCCCGTTCAGCAAAGAAGATCAAAAATGATATATGTACATATGACGGGTATTACGCCAGTTTCTGAATTCTTTCGCCCACTTATTCCCACTCGGCACGTGCTGGGTCACATTCAAGCTTGACCGTTCTGTCAATCATCAGTCAAAATCACCCCCCACCCACCAGTCAACTGCCGCAAATGGGACAGAGAGACAACTAAGCCACCCAAAACAATACTTCCGTAACGGGAAATGACAACACTATATTCCACAACAATGTCTACAAATAGACGACCAGCAGGAAGCTCGGTATCTATAGATTATGCTATCTCAAGGACAGGCAGATTTCTGTGAAAAACATCTTTTGCTCGTAGCAATATTCAGGCGCTTTGAATTTGAAACCCATTCAAAGTTAAGAATGTTTTACCTCGAAGTGCGTACGGGGTTATTACTTACTATGATTATCCCTGCATCCTAAGGATTCTAAGAGATGATAGCTGACCCTTATTGACCTCTTGAGAGTACGATCTATAGAGAAATAAGGAAGACGACACCGTGTAAAGAGAAACCGTCTAAAGATAAGTACTCCATCTTCCTTGGCGACAATAAGCTGGGTTCAAAGATGCCAGGCAATCACGATAAAAAAAAGGAGGGCAAAATTTCACCCCGGGTCGCGGTAGAAAAGACGGCGCCAATGGTTCGTGAAGATGAAAAGGGCTTTTGCCAGTCTTGATGGAGAATTAAGCCTGCTTGTAATGACATATTTGCTCGGTAATAGCTTACTGGCATTAGTCTCTCTTTGTGCATTACGATCACGGAGAGGTCAGATGTCTACAGCCACGGGTGCAAATTGCAAGACGCCAGCAAATTTTGCTCCACAATCGGAATACAAAAAGTCATCGTTCGAAAGGAATATCAAAGTACCGCTAAAGGAAAATTTGCAAGACTATTTTCAAACAGCTTGTAATCGATTTAAAAGGTCAGCGACATAGACACAGTCGTTTCATCAAAGCCTGGAGTATCAGCTCGGTGCCAAGGACAGGACCTTCTTATCTTTCTTTCTCCAGGGTTTGGATTGATGATCTTCACATTTCTGAGGATAAATATTTCATAACAAAATATTAGATTTGTCACGCCTTGAGTTCCCCGGGGCCCGATATACAGCGTTGCTGGGAGTAAGGTGTGCGCGACAAGTCTTGTGGAAAATTGAGGTCGGCTTCTGAAAAGCCATCTGACGCAAGGACAGTCACGTATGTTTGACCTATCCATGTAGAAGCTGATGTGACAAGCAAGATATGTTGCTCTTAATAAAGCGGGTGGGTATCTCCTGAATCCTGAAATATCAGCGGCTACGCCTAGAAAATCTACCAATAACTGTTCAGTCCTCATCTCACACTACAAAGCAAGTGTATGTTATCTTCTGAGTTGTGAAATATCAACGACTGCGCCTAGAAAATCTACCAATGAATGTAAAAGCAAATTCTCATCCCATGCTACATAGTATTGCTGTAAGGTAGATTAGTTTCATAAGATGCTTATTTTGATAGAACAGTAGATGCCATACGTTATACCTTGTGAAATTACCGTGCAAAAATATATATTTTTCTAAATTTTAGTTGCATCATCATGCTTGAAGGCTAATTTCTTGTACAGAGTCAAAAAAGTAAATTAAACCAATAGAAGACTGTCTGATCAACTTATACTACTACTATTTTGCTATTGAGGGTTTGGCTTCATCTTTGGAGGCAGTGGATAATAGATTGTCTCAAGTTCTACATAATAAGTGAGTTTTGTGATCTTTAAGTAGAAACTGAGTTGTTTGTGATCTTCTAATTGGTGAAAGGTTTATTCTTTTTTTTGTCCAGGAAATCATTATCACTGTCTTTTTTACTCCATAATGTCGTGATCAATAATGGTGTTTTAGGTCCTATATGTACAAGAAAAAAAGTACAAGAAAACCAAGAAAAAGCACTTATTGAGCGTGTGAATATGATATTTCTACGCGCATGAATATAGATTTACAGGAGATCAGAAACATGGATCATGAGTAAGTTGTCGCGCCACAAGAATTGAGATAAAGTCTTCCACCGAAGTCGATGATTGTCTTGACGTCATGGCAGAACGTTACAGATGACTCTGATCAAACTGTCGTCCGGGATACTCGTCTTATGACATCTACATATCGCAGGTGCTGTAATGTCTAGGCCTACAAAAATCAATGCTGTGTTTCCAAATGTAGTCCTGAGAAGATCCAGATAGAGTCGGTAGGTAGGGATTGACTTTCTTTCTTTTTCTTCGGTTCAGTTCAACAGTTCCAGAAAATTCCTCCTGTCCAGATCTGATCGATGTTAACATTTTAAAACATTCGTCTGGTGCAATCGAAAAAAAGCCGACCTCCCTGGACACGAGCCAACCACAGCCGACCCTGCTCCCGACCTACTCCCGACCATGGTTGGGGGGAGTTCGGCAGTGTTCGTGAGGCCATATTCGGCTATGTATGACGGGATTAACAGGATACACAACATGTTTTTTGTAGGCCTTACACAATAGAAGCAGGCATATCAACCCAAGCACAGCTTGCCATTACTACACTCTCAGGACGACAACAGGAAGTCTCAAAATGACTCTAGGATATTCATACTATACGGAAATATACCGGGAGTAGATTTTGGATTTTGATAGTGAAATGTAATGGCACGGTCACATCAGCCTTCGGCCGCCATGCAATTTTGAAGTTTCTCCTACATGTACAGTCTTTTCCACGAAAACAAGGAACAGTGAATCACTGTTTAACGTCCCGTCCTAAGCACTGCGAACCCTTGGTAGCGTGCATGTCGGGTGAGCTACAGGATTTAAACGCCAGGATTAGAACTCCCAACCTCTTGGTCAAGAGGCAGGGTCGCTAACTACCGGAGTACCTACGCACGCAACTTCAAATTCATCAATTAACAGATGCATCATATCACGTTTCTCCTTACAATCTGAATGTTTTATTCACATGAAAATGCCAGGCATTAGGATGATACAAGAAGGAAGTATGTACATACTGTAACTTGCGTTGCGGTTCTTGGCAATTCAACATTCAGCACAACGATTTCACATATCCTGACAACGTATACTCAACATTGTGAAAATAAAACTGTTCTCCAACTCAAAGAAATTTGATTCTCGGTCAACCGGGACTGAGGGCGATATCGACTTCAGTGAACTTTGACCCAGTGCTGACGTCACACGTGCAGTAAATCACGTGTCTATTGCACTTGGATCAGACATCGAAAATTCTGGCGAGTCAAGTTTCTTTGAGTTGGAGAACGGTTTAATTTTCACGATGTAATTTACCAACTCAGAACTTTCATACTAGTATACTCAACATTGTCCCATACATGTATGTCATTGAAACAGGTGCGTTTCCCTTATAGCCAAGAACTGTTGTTGCGAACGCTGTAAAAAGCTAGTTACACACTTTTTCATGGAAAAAGAGATCCTGTAAAAGTCTTAACACAAAAACTTACACATTCATACCAAAAGGACTGTTTGAGCTTAACATGTCGAGATTTTCTTCAAAATTGCCACATTTTGAACAGCCTACGTCATCCAAAGGACATTCTGTACATTAGTTTGCTTGTCTCCAGATCCACACCAACTCTCGTCATCTCTCGCGAGATGTCATGTACAAAGTTGTAACGTTACGTTGGTTACTCAGTACTCCATAATCCTCATATCCGGGCAGCCATTTTTCTCTGGGGCCATTGAAGTAGTTTCAACGATGTGGTCTTCAATCTTTGATTTGAGAAAAAAAAGAGATATTGTCAACAATATGGTAATAAATACACATTGTATTAACGTCACAATATGAACTTTACTCTCTGATATGTCCATGTTCCCCATATAAAATGTATATTGACAAATAAAAGATAAAACTAAAAGTGTCTAAATGTGACGTACTTTGCCTACAAGGCCAGGTCACTTTTAACGTTTAAGCTGCATTATGTAACTTACGACAAAAAACGTCGACTTTCTGGTAATTTCTTTGCAACGTAAGTTGAATCAAGTACCATTCAGGAAGTCGAGGTGTCGAAATATGACGCTTTCGAGTGTCTTTGAAAGCTGGAAACACAGCTGTTAGCCATGTTTGTTAACATTCTGGTAATTTGCAGTGGCACCACAAACTAAGTTCACCTCGTGTGAGCTGTTTTAGCGCCAACCACAAATGCCAGAAATCTGAGGAATCGCACAGATATGTTGACAGGTGGAAGTAAATTACAATCCCACGACGATTTTTCAATAAAACATGTCGATTCTAGGTGCACAGATGTTACATGATGCCCCTTTCATGCTCACCTTAATAGATACATAAAACATTTACTAAGCATTGCAGGTTTTGATAGCCTCCAGGCATCTGCAAACTGACATAAACTTCCCGGGTCCTCCAACGAGCTTTTCCTGTCATACGCCCTGGTCGTTTTAGCTGTCGTAACCAGAAATATGATGGATCGTAAACATTTACAAGATAGCGTGGTACTAATCAAGTTTAGGATCCAATCTACCGCAACGAGCAATAAGTCAATCTGATAATATATGACCTTGAACGAAATCGTTCATAATTTGCCCTACAACATAAATGTCGACGTATTTTTGCTACAGAAACCATTATAATTTGAAGATATACTTGAAATGCAACAAAACAAATTGCTTCTCCGAGTTGCGGATGTTTTCATGGCATATCCCGGGTCGTTTTGACAAGATGCTGCTCTGTATTTGATCTCAAAACACTTTATATTTTTTGAGCTGCCAGCTAGAGAATTCAATCAAGAGATGGTAAACTGTTTTGCTACCACCAAGTAATAAATTGTGTATTTCATCCAGTAACTAGACTGGGTGGTTACTTATATTGGTCCTTTGGGGACATTTTTATGATGTTGGATTGCCAATCATTTACTGTATGAGTAACAACCCCAAGCAAACATTTGACATGTAGTAACCGAAATTCCCTGTCACACATTCACAACCTTCCCCCGACCACCAGCGAACTAAAGTTGGCTGAACGTCGGGAGCAGTCTGACCGCATTTAGGCCATGACTACCTTTGTTTCCGAAAATTTTAATCTAAATTTCAATCAAAGTTGACTCCCAGTCATTCAGTGGAAAAAAAGAATTTTGTGATATGAAATTCGACATTATCGCAATATCTAGTTACCCCCTCAAATGTGTGTTTATTATGATTTCACAGAATCAGTATGTTTGGTGCTACAGATAAGCAGCTAAACATTAGTAACTTAATTGTGCCATAATTCTAAATAGTAGATCTATGAAGAGTGAAATATTCATAACACAGTAATATAATCATAATTGTAAAATGTAAACTAATTGTAGAAAAATATCACTCAACACAATGAATTAAAGGAAAGGAAAATATACCGCGCAATAAAAACAAATTTTGGCAATTTTTAAAATTTCATAATCATTGTTGTTAAGGTAATGTTACCATTATTAGTATTATCATTATTCTGTTAGTAACCACTTATTATGTACCATTTTGTTCACTTCATGTAATTCTCTCTGTATTTTCATTTACCTCCTGGTGTTGTTTTAATTTGGACTGGGATACACAAAGTAAATCTTCTATTTCTATTTACATGCACCTTATAATATAAAAGCTGGAATGAATAAATAAATAAATAGATAGATAAGATGTTCCTGGGTAAATGTCAATATACACTGTTAGTATATTGTATAGAAGGTCAAGGGCTTCTAGTATAATTCCGGACGAATTCCCATATCTCAGCAACCTTACATCTACATGGGCTAATATAACAAACTATAGGTATAAATGAAGTAAGAAATATGTATATATAGTGGCCACCAAGGACCCTTTGGAGAATAAAACAATTATGCAGAATTTTTCCCAGAATTCTGGCTCCAGTTCTCAGAATTCTGCAGACTTCTGGCTCCAGTCCGGCTCCAGTTTTCAGAATTCTGGCTCCAGTTCAGAATTCTGCAGAATCAGGTTAATCCTTAGGGGGTCCTTGATGGCTGCCACGTATTTCTTATATCCCTTTTACCTATAGTTTACGATCTAGATTTAGAAGTAAAGTTGCTGTGATATGGGAATTAGTCAGAAATTAAAATGGAAATCCGAAATTAAACTGGAGGCTGTTAAGTTGTTGAAAACGGTGCTTACTGTGAAATGACCATGTTTGCTTCTGTGGCAGTCCGCATCATTGTGACTGTGACTTCTTCTGAGGGAATGGTATCCTGAAACTCCAGAGGACAAGTTAGTATTTCAACACAGAAAGGTAAGATTAAACCTCAATGCACATAATAAAGATTTCATTTATACTAGTATATTAGATAACATGATAGATAATAAGATAGGAAAAGGAAAGTGTGGTATAAAGGGATATTGATAGTCTTTATATTGGTTATAATTAGATATCATCGCTGGCCGCTACGGTACAAATTTCATTTTCATCCTGCCGATGACGAAGAAATACCAGAAAATGTAATATTCTCACCAAATTAAAACGATGCCCAAATAATTCACCGAAGTTGCAATCATACCTAACCATGATCTATTGTGTTCTTTATTCTTCTCATCTTAATTATTTAGCCTAGAAGTACAGTGGTAAAATCATTTTTAGTGTTCTACAATATAAAGTGAGGAGAAGTTGAATTTCTATGGTTAGTTTTATTTTGTATTTGTCAACTGTATTCGTTCACCATGTTTTGTTGTGACCTGTACATAGCCCGGTTTATCAAAACTGTGCAATTAAGATTGTGATTTCTCTCAAACTTTCATTCATAGCATGTAAGGTTGAGAGAGAAAATTTGGGTAAGTTCGAATTCATTTTAGTGTTATGTCTTTTCTTTAGAGTCATTCATTCATTATTGATCTTTTACCCTCACCTTGGACCGTTTCCATGCCACCGATGACCTGGACAGAAGAGGCGGGGAAGAGTCCCACCGTTCCCCGGGAGAAACCGTACCACCACCCGTCGGTGCCCTTGTGAAGCACCTCCACGATGTCATCCACTTCCAACGTCAGACCGCCGTCTCCCGGAGGTTTGTAACTTGACACGGTCTTCGCCAAGATTCGTTCTATAAAAAGTAGTACAGAAAGCATGGTTAAAAGTCGAGACGGGAGGCGACATAGACTTCCAAAACCCTTTGACCGTTGCCGACGTCACACGTACATATAGTGACGTGACGTGAGCTTTTCGGTCAGATATCTAAAGAAGATTAAATTCCGGAAATTCTTTGAAATTCTTCCGGGGTCCAATTACTTGAGTGGAATACAGTTTAATTGTTCCACAATGACAATGTAATTTACAAATGAGATGATAGAAAATATCCACTATTATGTTTATGTAATTTTCACTGATTAGAGATGTTTTCATGATATATATGACGCCAATTTTAGAATTAGAATTTCCGGGTACGGCTTGACATTTTCGAGGGTACGGCCAGAATTTCCGGGTACAGCTCGAAAGGAGTTTGATGGGGTTGAATAGGACTAATACTAACGCTAGTGGGGTGGGGTGGGCAGTATGATCAGGTCAAACAGGAGTGCTTGTGTACAGAACAGACGTAACAATGGGACTGAGCCTTAATACATATGCAAATTGCCTAACGACACAACCATCAGACCTGATACTCCCCTGGCAAAATATTAGGTGAAAATGCTGTGTTGTAAGGGAAGTTGTACCTGGCTTTCTGGCTAAAGTACCGGGACAGCTCCCCTGAAGCATGAGGGTGCCGTCATTCAGCCTGTACGACCTGGCCTTGATGCTCTTCCCGCAGTGTTTGGTCCGAGGCTTTCTCCTGCCTTTGCTCTTGGAACAGACGATAACGACCAGTAGTGACGTCAGCAGCAGGGCTGTACCGCCAACGGCACCTCCCATGATGCTCCAGAACTCTAACCACCTTCTCCTGGATGTTGTGTCGTCTGTGGGGGAGGGGTAATATTCAAGTTTGATGTAACAATTGTTTAGTGTTTATCCTTTTTGTTGTCATTGGCTGGTATTCTGGCATGTTTGGGTGTCAAAATTGACTCATATCTAACTCTTATATTCGGTGCGGTTCGTATAGAAATGTAGGCGTGGCCTAAATTTGGTAAGACTGTTATGTTGCCGAACTTCAGCAAACTTTGATTGATTTAGGCCATGCCGATCTCCTGTCCAAACCCGATTGCCTTGAACATTTTGATAAATTCGGCTAAAGCATCTGAACTGTAACTTACCTGTTCGAACACCAACCAACCATGGCCGACCTACTCCCACCATTGTTAGGAGGGAGTTCGGCTAGTGTTCTGGAGGCCATACCTCAACGTCTTATAATATCAGATCTAATAATATATATCACTTTCTGGGACAAGGCTTAAGGTAAAAGTTTGGTGCTAGCTGCTGGCGTCATCGTGGATTCAATCCACGTCTTATCGCAGAAAATAGGTCTACATTTTGATCATATCTGTTTTCACACGTTTTCATCTGTTTTAACTCATTTCACACGTACATCGATCAAACGCTAAAGATTTTGAAAGAAAATCGCGTCACCTTGGTTCTCATATGGGTTCAAGAAATCGCTTTACAATAAATATAGATGACTTTTTAGAATCCTGAAGGCCATTCAATAGATCCTATCTACCGCAAACAGTAGTTTTAAGCACTTCGTCTGAAAAGCTTTCTTGTTACCACTCAATAAAGTCGTTATACAACTCCTACGAGTAGTACTTCAGAAGAAGAGTTGTTATCGTAAGGGTATCTTCATCGCCAATGTTCAAAGTCTCCTTTAATACGTCTTTAGCCCTTCGGAATACTGTCGACTTGGGTTGGGAGAAGGTCGGGAGCAGGGTCGGCTTTGTTGGCTGGTGTTCGGAAGGGTGTCGTGTACTGTTCGGCTGCGTCAAGCAAATGTTTTAAGATATTAAAGAAATAATCCAGTGTCAAATTTCGAAGGGTGGGGGGGGGGGGATCATTGTCGTCTGATGTTCGGGGGGTGTCCAAGGGTAGGGTAAATTTGAATTGAATTCAACTCAAATTCGATTCGTATAGAAAGGAGGTCGCCGTGGCCGACTGCTCCGGAACTTCAGCCAACCTTGGTTGGTTGGTGGTCGTGGAAAGGTTCTAAATACGTGACAAGATCCCAACTTACTGGAATACGACGCCGTCCCTTCACCAAGTACGGTCAACTCCACAGCTCTGGAGTCATTACGGTATTTCCCGTTAAATGCCCTGCAGAGATACTCCCCGCTATCCGATGTCTGCAGATCGTGTAACGTCAGGTACGAGACGATGTGGTCCAGGGTACTGGAGAGGCCGATTGGCTGGGAGTTGCCGCTCTTATACCACAGGACTTTGGGGGTAGGGTTTCCGTCTACGATACACCATAGTGTTACAGTTGCTCCCACGGTTGTGAAACGTGGACTTGTGATGTTTAGTACCACCGGTGGATCTACAGAAAGTAAGAAAATATAAGGAAACATATTAGAGATTATGTAAAACAACCCAAAATATACAAACGCAGCTCGCTGTTGTACGTAAAGAAAACGCAAGGCAAACCATTTTCAAACTTGACCTTCGTTTTCACAACTGCTATTCACCTACCAAATGTCTTCGAGAATCATTCACAGCCTCTCAAGCCCCGCAGATGTATGGACCGTTCTCAAAGCCACGCCCCCTTAGTAACGCCCTAGCAACCGGAATACCTTTACATCCCCTGTTCTATTCTCTTATTGTCTGAATCGTTAATTTTGATTTACATCCAGGGACGTTCTATAAAGAGGTCGCTGCCGTCAAATTTGCTTAGCAAAGAAACTGACAGTTTATCATGTAATTGTCAACATTATTACAGTGTCTGGTGTAAAAATTGTTTCCGACAGTTTTGGTTGTTGTATCGATTTTCTGATAGATGGAGATTACTGCGTTTCCAAGGTTCAATAATCTGTTAATAATCCAACATTTATCTCCTAATTAAAAGGGTTACTAAAGGTCAGTATGCTAGATAAATCGGAAGAAACGAATGTAACAGCTGTTAGAAATGAAGGTATTAGTATACGTAGTACGTTTTAGTATCTTATATGCAATGGTAGTAGTAGAATGTTGTTTAGATTTCCCATGAACGTCATGGTGGTTGCTATATTCATATATATA